GTTTTAAAGCTTTAAAATATTATAGCACAGAATCATATTAATGGCTTTGTTTTCTCAACCCACTTATTTAATTACTAATGCAACAGAGACATGGACACATGCTTTTATTTTCTTCATGTCCTGACTCTTTTGAGAGCCAAACCAAGTTTGGATATGGGAATCTCTCCTCCTTTGCAGAACAAGGGTGGAGAAATGGCTTCTATGCAGGATGCTGCTCTGCTGGAGTTCAGGGAGATTGAAGCTGGGGATGTGTCTAAAAAAGTGATCAAAATTGCTTTGTTCCTAATTTGTAGCTGCAAGTTAGAAACCATGCTTTCTGTAGTTGGGTTTCTTGATGTTTGTGGGATTTTTAGCTGTGGAAGTTTTCTGGGGAGATAAAAAAAAATGGAGAGTTAGTGGGTTATAATAGTTAACTTCTGTTTCTTGGTTTTTTAAGAAAAAGTATTTTCACTGACTTGAGATCCTCTATTAATTTAGAATTATTGCAGAAAGCAATAGGAGAAAATTTTAAAATTAGCAATATAGTGGGTAAAACCTCTTTAAAATGGTGAGTTTTAGAAAAGCCATAGGTTTGCAGAGATAGATAGATCTATCAATCTATCAGATAGTTATGCAAAGCCCAGTCTGTTAAGCAGTGTAGATATCTTCATGGGGAATATTGGTTTTAATCTTTTTTTTTCTATGTGAGCTCAAGGGAATCCTCATTTTGTGGTGGCTGCTCCTGCTCTGCAGTTTCCAGTTCAGCTGCTTGCTTGTGGATCTACCAGGTTGTTCTGGTACCATCTATTTTTCACTTGATATTTTTATGTTCTGTCTCCACAAAGTCTTACAAATTTGTAACTCTGTTGTTTACTCCTGGTTGGAAAGTGTCTTCCACAGATCTTTTTATGACAATGATGTGCTGCTTAACTTTTGTAAAAATCACCTATTTAAAAACCATCTACCCCAAACACAGAGTTGGCTTTGCTGCCATCCTACCCATTAATCATTAATAGACAAAGAATGATAAATGCCCTTCTAGTTCATTTATCTCCAGAAAAGCTTTTTCCTCATTTGACAATTTATCTGAAAGTATGTCCTTCAGTTGCTTTAATACTTTGTGGTCTGAAATGTCTTGAAGAATAATTCTAGATTAGATTCCAGCAGAATTCTCTTAATAGAGCCAATTACTTAATAAAAGCAGTAACAAAGAAGAAATTATGGCAGAGATTTTAGATTGATGTTCTGTTTACCATCAATTCTTTGAGAAATAAGGGCTTAATGCAAGATTGATTTCATTATACTGACCAAGCTTTTTCAAAAAAACCACAAGTAGTTAAAAGCATTTAGGAAATAAAATTTGCCGTATTTAAATGTGCCAGTTATGTGCTCAAAGCCCTACATGAAAAATTAAATTTTCAGTTTAAATGACAATCTGTCCCCTTTCTAGATTTGTTTTTACTGTCTGACTAATATTATACTTCTTTTAGTCTGAGAGGTAATAATAATTCATAATGCTTAGAGCAATTGGAAACAGAAACCAGTCCCTTTTAATTGTTTCCTTCCGTTGTATTTAATTCAGCTTCTCTGGATACATTAAAATTCTTGGATGATAGGCTTGCTTTCTGCTTGTTGTCTTAATAATAAAAGCTGGACCCTACAAGATGATTTAGAAAAATGGGGTATTTTGAGTTTGGTTTTGTTTGAGAACCAACCAAATGTGTAGGTGTACTTTGAGTGGCCCTTTTTCATCCCAGTGTTTATATTAAAAATTCAGCATTCTATGGATACTTACTAATATTAAAGTGAAGTTTTTAGTTTGTCCAGTTGTAATGTTGAAGAGAAGATTTTGCTTGTTGTAATTTCATTGTGGCAGTGCCAGTGTACATCTTTCTCCTCCCCTTCCCACATCACTTGCTCATCTCAGGGAAAGGGAGGGGAAAACCAGGTTTGAGTTTTTCTCCCTCAGTGGATTGTGTAGCAAAGCACACAGGATCATTCACACCTGATTTTTACAGCCAGCTTGCCACACAAGCCTGTGACAGAACAAGCCCCTCTCCTGCCTTTATCCCTCTCACTGACACAGATGTGAGCCTGAGGCCTTGTTGGGTACAGGGTAGGAGGAGAGAACTTCCCAAAAAGTGACTTCTGTAAATTGACACATGTGGAAATTTATTTGCTTTAGCAATCTGACATTTTCCCCTTTTTTTTCCTTAAAACCTCATCCTATGTGTTGCATATGCTTCCTTAATTTAAGTAACATTTAGAAAGCTTTAACCATGCATTAATTTAAATCCAATTTCCTGTCTCTCTTGAGGAAAAAAGAGAGTGCTTTTTTTTTTTT